ATCATGCGTGGTGGGTTTCGTTTGCGATCCAGAGGTCGAAACACAGTCCACGAAGCCTGAGTTAACCCTAAGAAGTTGTTCCACACATCCTGCTCGCAGTACTGTCCCCAAAAAATACCATTGTCGGATCGGTACTCAGATTCCATAAACACAAAAACTGACTTTCCAACACGGCTCGCAGCCACCAGGTTTGCATTCTGCTTGCACAAGTCCTCCTTGAGCTTGATGCCATCCTCCGTCTCGCCGTTGAGCACCATGTTGTCGGTGATGCCCTTCAGCAGTTCGTCCTGGCCGGATTCGCAAGAGCACATGTGTAGCGATTGCATGCGCCTGCTTGCAGTGAGAAGTTCTGCGCTCCTGCTTGGTGCCCTCAGGAACCACCTCCTTCCACGCAGCCACAAGCTTGGTCACCCATGGCTCATTCGAGATCCGCTCTGCCATGGCGCGCCAGACGTGTCAAACCCTGCGTGCTGCATTCATGCATGCACTGACAAAGATTAACAGTGGCCTGAACCTTGCAACCGCGAAGCATGGCCTGACTCGGATCAGAAGGGTCTTGCACATGTTGCTGTTTTTTAATGTAAATGCGTTGATCAATGTTGAGCCACGCGCCGCGAGTACGGGCATTAATACATGTCACATCTGTTTGCCCGTGTACGGTGTGCAACTAATTGTTTTGATTTGCCAACTGCACGTCTGCATGACCGTTTCCATCCACGCAAAGCAACATTGATGATGAAACAAAATCTTAATCAAGCAAAGCGTGCAAGCAAGCAATAGCAATAGCAAATAGCAAAAGTTATATTGCAGTTAAGCAATCAATAGCAATAAAGGAAACTTGAGTTAGCAAGCAAGCAAAGCCATCAAGCGAACCGTACGCAAGCAACCAGCCTGCATGCGCACAAACAAATACATACACCAGCTCGCGCGGGCGAAAACACGCAAATAACACAAGGAAGAAACAAAACCACACCGAGAAACACCAAAGGAACAAACACATGCCACAAACAGCGACACAAATTCACACAAGAGAAATGCAACAACCACGCAAACGGGACAAAGCAAGCAAACCCAAAAAACACAAACACACCAAGCAAACAAACACACACACACACGAACACACAAACACACAAACACACACAACCAAGCAAACAAACGCACACACACACACACACGAACACACAAACACACAAAAACACACAACCAAGCAAACAAACACACACAAACAAACAAACTAGCAAACAGACACACACACAAACAAACAAACAAACAAACAAACAAACAAACAAACAAACAAACAAACACAGAAACACACAAATTACACACAAACAAACACACGAACAATGAAACAAACACAAACAAACAAACAAGCAAACAAACACACAAACTAACAAACTAACAAACTACCAAAAAATACAAACATAATTTGTTTTGTACAAACAAACAAACAAACAAACAAACAAACAAACAAACAAACAAACAAACAAACAAACAAACAAACAAACAAACACACACAAACAAAATACAAACAAACAATCAATCCAATCAAACAAACAACAAACGAACAAACAAACAAACAAACAAACAAACAAACAAACAAACAAACAAACACGCAAACACGCAAACACACAAATTAACACACAAACAAACAAACAAACAAACAAACACAAACATGCACACAAACAAACAAACAAATTTAATAAACAAACAATACAAACAATACAAACAAACAAACAAACAAACAAACAAACAAACAAACAAACAAACAAACACACAAACAAACAAACAAACAAACACACAAACACACAAACACACAACACAAATTAACACACAAACAAACAAACAAACACACAAACACACAAACACAAACATGCACACAAACAAACAAACAAATTTAATAAACAACCAATACAAACAAACAAACAAACAAACAAACAAACAAACAAACAAACAAACAAACACACACACACACAACACAAACAACACAAGCAAACAAAAACATACACACAAACAATGCAAATTTGCGCACGCGCAGACAAACAAACAAAACAGTTAAACAAACAGCAGGAACGCACGCGCGCCCGTCAGCACAGGAACGCACGTGCGCACAAGCCACTGACAAAAACACAGTTAACGCCAGGAAGGAGAGGTTAAAGATTAAGATTGAGCACACCCACGTGCACAGCCAAAAAAAAGAGGCCTCAAGCCAAAAACTTCCCACGACCAAAAACACGCGCACCAAAAAAGTAGACAGCAGCCAAAAAACGGCTGCAGCCAAAAAACGGCACGATCAGAACTCCAGGATGGGGAAGGCGAATAACGACTTCCGTTAGGAAGTTCGCCTTCCATGACACGTGTTTGTCCTTTTACATTCCAATGGCCTATGTGATCGGTGCTGCAGCGGGCCATTTGACTCCGATGTATCCGACCCATAGGAAGGACGAAGACATCCTGCCAATATCAGGTCTTTCATGGTGTCCTTGGCGGGGTATGACGAGAAGAAGGCTGAAGGAGGCGATTGCCAAGGTGCAGAAGGCGATCAGCGAGGGCCGGTCGGAGCCTCCCGTTCCCATCCGTGACCCTTTCGTCTACGTCAGTGACGAGAAGGTGACGACTGTCATTGGTGGTAAGCAGCCTGCGCCGCAAGACGTCTGCATTGACGAGCTCCAGTCGGTGCACCATGCTGCGCAGGGTCCTGGTCCTAAGCAGGAGCCGGTCCCCAAGATTGAAAAGGAAAGAAGGGTGAGAAGGGTGGTAAGGGCGATAGTCCTTCAGACCCACAGCCGAAGTCAAGTGAAAGGGTCCGGCAAGGCCCGTCGCCAAAGCGAAGCCCAAGGCAAAGGCGGATGCGGGACCAACTCCGATGGAGGTTGATCCACCTGATGCTCAACCGAAGAAATCCTGGATCGAGGTAGCGGTTGAAGGTGCTCGGCCTAGTGCAAAAGCGAAGACGGCGCCCCCAAAAGCCAGTGAGGTTCAGGCCCCGAAGGCGGAGCCGAAGGGAAAGGCAACTCCCGTTCCTAAAGCAGGGGATGATCCGGCTCCAAGACCCGAGCCCAAGGAGACGCAGAAGAACGACCCGAAGACTGAGGTCAAAAAGGGAAAAGGGAGTGGAGACGATGCTCCCGGCAATAGCCGGAAACCCAGAAAAGAAAGGAAGTCTCGTTGGGATCCAGAGGCGCCTACCAAAGAGTCAACGAAGCGGGAGGCATCGAAGAGGCCCGATGATGTTGACAGCAGGCCAGGAGGCAAGTGGAGATGATCTCCACTCCGCGCTTGGTAGGCCGTTGGCAAAGGATGCGATAGCGCCCTTGACGGCTTCCAAGGCTATGGCTAAGAAGCCTGAAGGAGGTGAAGTCAGGTTGCACTCCGCGGAGCGAGCTGCCGCGAGCCCGGTGGAAGGCCATTTCCAGACACTGCCGGAGGCCTCGGTAGTGGAAGTATTCCTGTCGATGTCAAACAACAGGGCGCTCAGTTGACAGATGGTTTTTTTAAGAATTTCTGTGATAATATTAATGTAAAATTATACCACGGTAATCCTTCTAACTCTATTTCGCAAGGAAAGGTGGAAAGACTTATTAGAAATATCACAGAATATTCCAAAATATTTAGAGACTTCATCAGGAACGGCGAGAACGGCTCGGCGTTGGAAGCTCTCAACCAGATCGTGGCGAACTCCCACGCAGGTTTCCCGCACGCCGACTCAGGACACCAGGGATTCTCGAGAGTCAAGAAGACGCAGGTATCGACCGCGGAGAGACGAGGATAGAGACCGAAGACGAGATGATCGTCGTGATCATCGCGGTGATGAGTCGCTTGATCGGGACCGAGATCGAAGGAGGGACGATTGCAGGAGGTCCCGTACGCGGGGCGGACGTGACTGAAGGAGACGTGATGACAGCCGATAGGCTGATTCACAAGGGTTGCGGCCGATAGGCTTGCGCCCGCTCTCCAATGGTCACCATGAAGTAGTGTGAGTGAGAGGGGATGCAAACTGATGGAGGATACTCCCAGGTTTGCGGAATTTGTGTTTCAAGTACGCATGGTCAGGAGTACCTCTTGCCGATAGGCAAGGGTACTAATGGACATGCGTTATCTTTTTCATGGCTTCTGATAAGAATTGAACTACTTGCATTTCGGATGCAAACGGTTGTGGCCTATTGTCGTCACGTGGACTCTTCCACAGGGTATGTTGGACAGCGTTACCCCGATCAATTCGGGGCGGTGGCGGGAATTTCATGCCCGGGATGTCGCGCGACTGCCTTTGTGGGTTTGCTCCACCGCTGATGGCGGTAGCGTCCAGCTGTTTGCGGACGTATGCGAGCAGTTAAATCCTTTCAGTAAATGGCACGCTCCACCCGTCATATGACAGACCCCTCATGAGGGGGGTGTGATTAGCCATGGTTTCAATCATCACCAGGGATGTCGCGATAGTGACTGACCGGTGATGTCGCGTCGATCACCTTCGTGTCGGTGGAGAAAGAGACATCGGCCCGTGGCAGATTGGTGGGGTCCGCCCGTGCGGTTCATCGTCGATCAAGGTTGCGGGTACTTGCATTTTTGTTTTGGTACTTCCCTTTTGGTTGTTGTTCTCTGGTGTGTGGGAAACCCTGATCTTTGGGACCGAGGATTGGTTTGCTTTTGGGGAACCTTTCTTTTGTGGCTTGTTTACCCCAACTTACCCATTGCCTGGGCACAGGCTCGTGCCCGAATCACAGAAGGTTTGGTTTTGGGCGAGTTTCGGGGTTGGGTTCAGGTTGGTAGACCTGGCCAAAAAAATTGGAGTGGGTGTAGGGAAGGGTTGAGAGCGGGAACATGTAGGGTGGAAAGGAATAAACCAACCACAAAAGAAGCCACATAAGAAGCACGTAAGCCACAAAAGACAAAAGCTGGAAACGAAAAGAACCACAAAAACAAATCAAAACAAATCCAGCAAGTGAAACGCATGGCACTCCATGTCTCGGCCTCTCGGCCGTGGCCATGCTCTCTGAGGCAAATGCCGTTTGTGAGCCGCGCATCAAAAGCCTCAAGTCACCATCGTCACGCTCGTCACGCACCCGACCCAACGCTTTCTCAGAGGCTTACAGGGGCTCCATAGTCCTCAGCTACTCAGCTAGCATTCCTCGCACAATTGGCCCAACTTGCACCTTGACCGATTGACCGAGGCTGTCGCGGATGACGGCATGCTTTGGCCGTTCAATGCCACCCCTTTGATTGCATCACACTCTTCACTCTCCATGAGCAAAAAACATTGCGAATCTGAGGCAGTGGCCCTCTTTTTCCAACGCTAAGCTCACCTCTCATGACTGTGTTGAACTTTACTTCCGCAACCAGTGGCCATTAGCACCCAGCCTCACGGAACGACAAAACATCAACCAATCCTGCCACGCGGCTACAAAGAAGCGAAGTCTAAAGAAAGCCTCACTATGCACATCCTTCCAAGCATTCAGCTTGGCTGGGGACAAGCAAGTCAAGCAAGCCGGATTCCGGGAGGTCGCTCTCACCTTGCTGCCCAAGCAGGCATATGCGGCGCATGTGTCAAAGCTCAGAACAATGCGAAAAGCTTTGGCTGCCAAGTCACAATTGATTTTTGGCTTGGAAGATGAGCTTGTCGCATCCGAACAGCACTCCAACATCAGATCTTTGAATTGCTGTACCTGGACGGCAAGTGAATAGAGGTTGACCAAAAGAACTAAGATGGCAACTCTGGCATTGCGTGTGTGCCTCTTCGTCATACTGGCGCCATTCTTCCTCCTTCACCACAAATGACATGAGTCACAATCAAAACCCAGTATTAAAATGGCCTACCCAAACCAATGCAAATAACCATGAAGGCGGCCGCACCCAATTCTGGCTGGGATTGACTACCATCCAAATACCAAGGTTTTTCTTGCAACTCACATGAGACTTTGATGGTGGACTGACAAGCGCCGCTCAACTTTTCAACGTCCTCCTCCTCGCAGAGGGTGAAATCCTCATCCGCCAATTCATATTCTAGGAGTTCCTCGTAAATTGCCAGAGCCGCTGCTCTCTGCCCGCTGAATGGCAAAAAAAAACTTTTGCCATGCCTCCTCGCTAAGATCGTACAAAGACCTAGTGCAAGCATTTCACAGACTACTATCAGCAGGGAGCAACTGTGTTCAATCATCTCGCTTAAGATTGCAACTCCAAGCGCCCCGGAGAAGTGCTTGACTCTTTGTCCTTGTGAAAGAGCAACAATGGCTTGGTCAAGAGGATAGTCTCCAGCAGCCGGCGAAGTTGGGAGAACAACAAATCCGTTCACAGTGCCAGCCAGCACCAAAGGCGACGCGTCTAGGAGCCACTTTGCAAACAGGCGTGCAATTCAAAGGCTTTTGGGGAAAACTTCAAGCCATACATGTCCAGGCAGTGAGCATGATTTCAAAACATGTTGGTGTTCGCGCCTTTAATCGTGCGTAGCTCGAGCACACAACGTGTATTTTGTCCATATTGTTAAAAGGAAATGCTATTAAAAACAATAAGTAAGCTCGATGGACTGATCTGCATGAAGCTTGTCGCCACGCAAAAGCAGCCACGGAAATCAATAATCTCACATCTCAGCCCTATTTATCTGCATGATTCTCCGCATGCCTCTCCAGGCGAAACCAAATTCACATGCCTTCTAAGGTGGCCGACCTCATGAGCCAAAAGTCATTTCCACCTGTCGCTGGATGCCCCGCAATAGTACCTTCGTTCGGATTATGCTCGCCAGAATCTTCATTTTGCGGGCCGCCTTGTCAGCACCCACAAGTGTGTCGTGGTGACATCTTTTGTCAACACCGTGCCTTCCAATCATAATGTGGCCTGTGGTATCATGTTGCTACTCGTGCTTTGCACAATGTCTGCCATGCCGTTGATGCCACTAGCATGCTGCCTATGTGATCAAACTTCTCCCTGTGTGCATCACCATGCAGCGTGCATAAGCACGGCGCAGCGCACAGGCCATGACCTTTGTAAAAGGAAAGCGCGCTGTCGCGTTTTGCACAATCTGGATCTGCAGGCATCAACGGTACACCATGTAACAGCTTGCAAGCCAGGCCAGGTACATCATCATCTCGTGCAACATGAGTATGGCTCTCGCGCCGAATGCAATTTCCCCTCCTTGGATGTCTGCATGTGCAGGCGACCTCAAGCAGGTTGTTATTGCTGCGATATGAATTATCGCCCAGCATACAATGCACTCTGCCAAGCTGGTGTGTTCATGAACGCACTCAACTCAATCGCCCCAGTTTGCTTAGGTATCAGCCTCTCAGCCTTTGATATGCCCGTGCACTGCAAATTGTACCTGCCCAACATGCATCTGGGTGTTCAAGCAGTATCTCGCTCTGGCCAGTTGAAATAACCTACGATTTCCCAGCTGAAACATCAAAGGCTTTCCTTGCTGGCCTCTGAATGGTCGGACTTCAGTCTCTAAGAAAAACAGTCCATGTGGCGCCTGCATTCTGTTGCCTGATGTGCTGCACGCCGCTGTCTTTATTTCATTGCCTTTCTCAACGCTGCGAATACATGACACATGCGAACCTCAGAGCAGTGGGGTGAAACACGGAAAGAGGCTAACTTCGAAAATATGTGAATGGACCTGATGAAATTCTCAGGTTTCAAGTACATAAGCCATCCTAAGCCATCGACAAATTTCTTGGCCGTAGGCCCTTGCCGGGCCAAGTCAAAGGGTCTTATTGCCATCAGTACTACTTGAACACGACTCATTGTTTGCCTTTCTAATCTTTGAAGACCCTTTGCTGCGACTGCAGGAGAGCGGTGTCGCTCTCCATGCTAGAGATTCAAATCATACATGCAGGTGTTGCATTTGCAGAGCAGGCCAAGGCTTGCAACAACAGCGGCTATCTTCTTGTCGACATATTGCATTCTGTACATACGCAACGTCAGCCTAAGCCTGACCCGGTCGAACAATTAAACATGGCACGTTTCACGTAAGCTGCAAGCAATTCACAAGCGTATCCAGGCTCCGAGAAGGACTGTGCTGCAAACTCACCTGTCTGAACTCTCTGCTTGTCATTGCCGGCCGCCTTGGCTCACATGCGTTGAAAATAAGAGCATGTGCAAAATATTCAAGGGCAGAATCAGCTCATCACAGTTACAACATATAAAGTACTCGTAAGGAACAATGAAGTCGCAAAGTAGCTGCAATGTATGTTTGTGTAACACAACATAGAACAAAGTAAGGCTGCCACCTCAGCTGAGACTGCTTTTCAAGCGAGCGTTGATCAAAGCTTGAAGATCATCTTTGGAGGCTCCCCCAACTTGTGCCTTCAATGCATCTTGTTCCTCAGCACACGGAACTGCCACATGCGCAAGGAAAATCATACCAAAAAAGCAAGAAAGTCACATGGTTGCTCACAAGCGCGGTGTTTGGACAAGATGCTGCCTTACGAGTGGCCGCGTCGATTTGAGCCTGCCAAGGCAGCAATTCCCTCAATGCTACGGTCAAGCAACTGGCAACAAGACATGTAGCGGATTAGTGCAACCAGCCTTGACAACGATAGCTCGAGCCTCTTTTGCCTCATTTTCTGTAACTTTGGGCCGAATCCGATCACCATCATCGCTTCCGAAGTACAAATCCTGAGGTGGGCATGGGATTGACCCAGGACAACAGGCAAATGTTGCCACTGCTGTCTCACTCTAAGACCTCCACGGACTTTCCGCCCATCTTGCCACCTCCTGAACAACATTTTACTGCCTAGCATATTACAGACATTACCATGGTGTATTGCAGATATTACCAGGTGTATTGCTGTTTAACAGCTGAGACTGCGATCGCACACACGTGCTACAGAAGCAAAGGTCGATATCTGTGAGCCTCGAGCAAGTTCAAATATGTGACAGCATCAGTTCACGCAGGTCAAGCAGTCCTTTGCGCATTCCTTTCCCACCCTTCTTTCCTTTTCCTTTGCCCTTTCCTTTGCCCTTTCCTTTGCCTTTCTCGTTCCCTTTTGGACCTGAGTGCAAACATAACTGCGCCAAACACCGCAGTGTCCACATTGAGACTCGCTCCATCCATGTCGCCGTAGCCCTGGCCATAGCTGCCCATGTTTTGGCCTCCATAATTTCCTGAATCCATTGTCCTCAGCAAGATCAAGAGTCTTGCACAAAAACAAACAATGGCTCTAGTTGCGGTGAAGTAACGAAAGCACACACAGCGATAGCAATGGCCCCGAGTTTGGAAGGAGCGAAGTCCACTCCAGGCCAACCGCTGCTTGAGCCGCACAATGATGGCAACATGAAACTGCATAGACTGGTTGTGAAATAGAATCCAGTCCAACAATGTGCATCATGATCCCACCTCTTCTCCCGGGCAGAGCAACGTTTCGCAGTGTGCAGATTCTGATGTGGGTACCCAACTTCTGCAAGTCTTCACCCTCCGCCCCTGCATCCCTTCCTATGCTCCTTCAGAGAAACGTTCGGTGCCACGCAATTCGAACTGGATCAGTACATGCTTGTAACGTACACTTCACAACGGCATGTGCGCGACAATGCACGACGCCAGCCTGCAGCAGCTGTCAAGTGGCAAACCTGCTGACAATCAACACCAAATAGTTGCAATATGATAGATGTCTTGGACTAGAAGCTGCCTTGCATCGACGCTGGACAATCCAGTCCTGCAGCACCCGACTTGCTCATGCAATCGCCATGCGTGCAACTCGTTCAATTTCTCCTCTGCCGGTAACCTCCGCCTTTCCACAGAATTGCCTGCGCCAACAGACCTGCAAGCACGGTATGAAGGACGAAACCTGATGAGAAAAACGCAGCTGGAACTCAATCCCCCCAATGCACCTGCCACCAGGGAGGACATTTGCCGACACCTTTGTAGCGATTGTTCCACAACTTAGTCGCATGGCATTCAGTCAGGTTACTGAAGCATTTACGAGCATATACTGCGTCCATTTTAGAGTACTTGAGCACTAACTACGCAATCTTCAACTCCGTAAGTTTGATCGTCCGGGATTGTACATGTGCCCCTATGGCAAGCTGAGCTGTCAACTGGCCGTGCAGGTAACCGCGCACATGCGAACACATCAGCACAACCTGGCATTCACAAAAGTCATTTGCCATACAACTCCAATATGATGCGCGCCTGCCACATGCAGCATCGGGCATCGATACTGCAACGTTGGCAACCGCTTGTAGTATACACGTGAATGAAAGGAGGTGCCATCTTAAACTTGCACAGATTGAATATTGGCAGGGTGTTGCATACAATGAATGCGCGTGCATTGGCAAAGTTGCAAAGCCGTTTTATGAACAGGTTGCCACAATACATGTGTGTGTATGTGCGGTTATGTACAAAAAGCTATACACAGTTGGGTCACTTGGCTGATCATCACTGCATGCGCTGTGCGACGTGCACGCTGCATGCTAAACCGTCCTTCCAAAGCAACTTGCGAGCCGAAACAGGCAGCAAGAGCATCAATGCTGTGAAATGTCGTCAAATATGCAAACAACTCAAATCATTCGAACGAGCAAGTGTTCATCCACACCATGATAACTACAAGTTACAAGCTTGATTGTTACGCTGTGTTCCCAACTCGCAAAATTGGACCGGGTTTGATCAACGTTGATCCTTCATGTTTCTCGAGTCAAGGTGGTGTTGATTTCAGGTCATTTCAGTCTTCAATCACCCAAAAGGGATCAGGTCCTGGCAGCATCAGCCACGTAACTAGCGGTGCAAATAATTGCACGCCAGCCCCTCTAACAGCTCCCCGCAAGGAGTGCCCCAAACAGCACCCCCCAGCACCCGGCCGATATTTCGTGGAAATGCGCCCGCACTGTCGCCAGCACCTCAAACACACCAAAATTTGTGTTTTTGCTCGCACTGTTTGCTTACATATACATATTCACATATATACATATATACATATATACGTATATACATATATACAGAAATACATACATACATATATACATATATACATATATACATATATACATATATACACACACACATATATATATATAGGGTACCCTTTTTCTGGGATATGTTTTTGGCTGTAAAAAGCATGTATAACACACGTTCCAGCGTAAAATGAAGTTTTAAAAATGCACTCCTTTTTTAGACTTAAATTCTATCATCAATACTTAGTGCTAGGCACATGCTGGAAGATTTCTGACAAGTCTTTCTTGCAATCTTCAGATCTGTACTTAGGGCAATCCAGGGTGCGCATGTGCTAGCACGTTCTGGATTTTCAATCTAATGCAGGATGTGCTAGCAGGTGCTAGCACATATTAGTTTGTCATACGGATGGATTGAAGATTTCCGGAACAAGTGGTCTGAGAATCTCAACCCAGGCTGTGCTAGCACGTGCTAGCACATCCTGGATTGCTCTAAGTACTTTTTGAAGACTTCCAGCAAGAGTTGTCAAAGTCTTCAATCTTCAATGCAGATCCTGGATTGCCCTAAGTGCGGATTTGAAAAATTCAAACCGGGAGTGCACGTTGTCGGAATAAGGAAAAATGTTGTTGACACCTTTACAGGTTTTTTGTGGTCTTGAAGGCTGGCCAGGATGGACGATTCTCAAATACAAAATCTGGTGCGTCTTCAATACAGGGGTCAAATCCTGACTGAGTCTAAAACAAACTGTCAAAATGTTTGGGGGCCAGGATTGACGATGTTCTAAAAGTATGTTTGTGGAATCTTGTATACTCGATCTTCGATCCAGGGCAACAGGATCTGAGCAAATGCTGAAAAACATTGTTGTACAGCATTTCTGCCAAGAATGGGAATTATTCATTATATCAAAAGAGGGGTCTGGATTTGAGGGGTCTACATTCGATAGGTTTCCTCTAGAGTAAACTGTTTTGGGCGCGGCTTATTTGAGCATATTTAAGCCATTTCGAGACATTTCTATGACATTTCGAGTCGTTTTGAGTTTGCTTTAGCGTAAACTAGGTGTGAGTGTTTTCAAGCGGTTTTCACATTGAGATGGAAATGATTCGAGCTTGCAGCAACTAGCTCGTGGAAAGGACCTTGCATTAGCGCAAAGACAAAACACACACACATACACATCTAATCTGCACTACTACACTTGTGATTCTAGCATCCTGAAAACAAATTAGGGACTGCAACATTCACATCGTGAGAAAACTTCATAACAGGCAGCAATGCCTCGAGCAATGCGTGAAGCTTGGCATGGGCCCACTGTTGACAACAGGTGTAGGGTTGTCATTGAATCAATCCATGAAAACGGCCCGTTCCCCTCCATTATGCATGTATACTAAATGATGGAATTTCATTCCAACAATCGTAACAATTGAATGCTAAATCCATCAAACCCCTCTTCTTTCGAAAGGGCTGCCCGATCTGACAAGGCGTGAGCCCCGTATTTCAAAATCAACATGATGATAGGTTAAATTCAAGTGTCTAGTCTATGAAACTGAATAATTGAATTAGCAGTAATGACAAATGAGTCTCTGTTTTTTTTTTTAACGGGCCCCCCTCATGCAAAGGATGTGTGAATCCCCCGGCTGAGAAAACATAGAGAATCTCATACAACCCGCAAGAAATATATATCTGTATAATACATCATTAAATCTACAGTATTAAAATATTGTTGCAAACAGTATTGAATCGAAACCGCGGCCCTTTTTCTCCAAACATCCGTTCTCTCGTGTCCAGCCAGTGCTGCATCAATGAGTCATTGCACAAGGGGAAACGGAATTGTGTGCGGTTGACTAAGATTGGGAATATCATCTTCCTCTTGCAGCATTTGAGTTTCACGAATACCACTCAATGACTCAATCCCCCCAATGCCCAATGGCCCAACACATTCGACAGCACCTCGTTGGAAATGAATGGCTCGGATCATCAGCCTGTCAGCGGCCTTTGATTGGCAACGTGCGCAGGCGCCAGACTCAGACTCTCAGGCTGAGGCCTATCCAATGTCATTGCATTGTTTGCATGACATCATGAGTGTGTGATATTTGCGCGCCTCGCGCAATTCAACCTTCCCGGCTACAGTGGTCGCTCAGTCAGTTGAGTAGCCGTGTGATGGACAAGTTAGGATGCTGTCAGGCAAGTCTTCAAGTCATTGTTAGTCCAGCGCCAGCGGCACAAATCGCGTTAGAACAAAAATGCCGTGCAGCCAGTTATGTTTGATTTGATTGACTCATTGATCCCATCAATCAATCTCTGAAGGGTGTGTCAGGACCTCAGGAGTCAATGAGTCAAGCAAGTCACTCACCCTCACAGCCACGCTCAGGGCGTCATCCACCCACCAATGAACCTGCCAGGCCGTTGGATTGTTCCATTGCATGATGAGGCAACGAGCCATCACAACCATGTCACTGCACTCGTCATGACTGAGTTTGTCAGTCAATGGCTACACAAGCAGAGCAACCACCCTGCCTCTTCATTCTGTGGAAAAGCCGCAGACCACGTCGAGATCGCAATCTGACCTGGGCACATCACTGAATCGCACAAACCAAAATTTCAAAATTGGCATCATTATGAGTCGTCCAGCAACTAGTGTCACACACGCCGTCCAAATCCGGACTCAAGCAGCAACTTTTTCAAGCATCGTCGAATGACAGAGCCCGATCCTGCAACCAATTTGGCTGAGTGCTGCCCGAGCAGCATTCCAAACAGAGGCTTAGCGCCTATAAAGGCTCACGCACGTGATGCACGTGGGCCGATTCAGTGACAGCAGCATTGATTTGAATGCGCCATGCGGCCAAAGCCAAAACTTGGAAAACTCACATTGCGCGCCCTTTGACTCGAAACACCTTGCCCTCTGGCTGCCTGCGCCTCATGTCATGTCAAGCCTAGTTGTCATTGCAACTCCAATGGCCAAAGGGGCGCATGCTTGTCGGCGTCAGTCTGAGCGACTTGGGCTGGGGGCGTGCCAATCTGATCTCAAGTTGAATGTGAACTTGAGTTGTGCTTCTAAGTGCCAAGGGCTTGACCTTTCAATGGTTCAAGGATTCAAGGGGTCCCGAATTCTGACTCTGACACCTGGCCTGGTCACCTGCACCCTCAGCCAGCCTCAGCGACTCAGACCAGCCTGGCCTAAACCTACTCACGCCTTTGCCTTTTCGGGAGGCGCTCTGGCGATGGCGTTGGGTCGCACAGCACCTCTTCCATCGAGCTCTCGTCGCATTCTCGGCAGCCTGAGCAAAACTTCATCGCCGTCGAGCCTGCTGCTTCTGCTGACCATGATGGGGATTCCATCATGCCGGCATCATCGTCCGAGTCCTCGTCCACAGTGGTCGAGGAAAGCGAGCCCGCATCGCTCTGCCAGGAACCACCTTGCAGCAAGCTGAAGTTCCAGAACAAGTCAAACTTCAATTCAATTGCTTTTCAAAACAAACCGTGAGAGCACCACATCGCCACAAGTAACGCGCATGCTGAAAATGAAACCCATCAACGGAAGGCAACGTTGAAAAACACTAAACCCAAAGGCGTACCATGTGTTACAAGTGTCCCTTCCAGCTGCTGATCTCCAGGGGCTCGTGCAAGCCAAGAGCAACAAGCTCTGGCAAAAGGTACTCCGGGTCAAGGCTGTCGAGCATCTCATAGTCTGTGCGGATCCTCTCGCGCTCCGCAATTTCCTCCATGGCCTTGGTGGGCAAGGACACGGGCTCTGCGACCTTGACAGCCATGGCCTTGGTCTCCTTCACGGGCTCACCCTTCGCGGCCTTGGCCTTGGTCTCCTTCACGGGCTCACCCTTCGCGGCCTTGACCTTGGTCTCCTTCACGGCCTTGACGGCCTTGCTCTCCTTGTCCTTGGTCTCCTTCACGGCCTTGACGGCCTTGCCCTCCTTCTGGCTCACCCTTTGTGGCCTTGACCTTGTTGCTCTCCTTGTCCTTGGTCTCCTTCACGGCCTTGACGGCCTTGCTCTCCTTGTCCTTGGTCGCCTTTACAGGCTCACCCTTCGTGGCCTTGACAGCCTTGCTCTTTTTGTGCTTGGTCTCCTTCACAGGCTCACCCTTGGCGGCCTTGGACTCCTTGTCCTTGCTCTCCTTCAAAAGCCCACCCTTCGTGGCCTTGGACTCCTTGTCCTTGGTCTCCTTCAAAAGCTCATCGGCCTTGACTGCCTTGCTCTCCTTGTCCTTGGTCTCCTTCACGCGCTCGCCCTTTGTGGCCTTGACTGCCTCCTTGGTTTCCTTCACGGGCTTGCCCGTCGTGGCCTTGACGGCCTTGCTCTCCTTGTTCTTGGTCTCCTCCACGGCCTTGACGGCCTTGCTTGTCCTTGGTCTCCTTCACAGGCTCACCCGTGGCCTTGTCCTTGGTCTCACCCTTGGTCTCCATCTCCTTGGCCTTGAAGGTCTTGGTGGTCTTCTTGGGCTCTATCATGGCCATGTCCACATCGGAGTCTGTGTCTGGCACCTCCGTGGTCACAGGTGAGGGGGACCCCCCCTCGAGGGGTGACGCCGATAGCAACTCCGGCGACTGCATCATCGCAAAAAAGGAAAAAGCAAGCTGCAAGGATTTACAAATGTCGCAGTGAATCGATTGTAACCTCTCTGATGCGGTCTCTGTCATGTCACACGAATTTTTCTGAAAACCCTTTGCATGGCAGCAGTGAATGGCTCGCCGGCAAATGAACTCCACAAAATCAAGCACACGAAGGCCAATCTGATCTGCTCAACTGTCTGACCAACGAATCAACCAACCAATGAATCACCCAAGCTCCCGGCAACAGCAACAACGAGGAAAGCGCAATTCACAAACGGCCAACGCAGTGAGGAATCGACCTGGCACAGTGTTTTCCCCACTCGCTCTTTCACGATTCGAACTGGACCCGACTCTGTCACATGTCATTGACTGCCAGACTCTCTCCCTCTCTGTCTGTCTCTCTCTCTCTCTCTCTCTCTCTCTCTCTCCCACTCACACAGCCACTGCTTGCGCACGGCTGAATCAATGAATCAGGACGCAAGCAAGTGTCTGACTGAGGCTCTGACACAAATTGCAGGCCGGCCAGTGGACCTCTCACATTCACACCCAACACACTGCTTCAATTCAAGCCTTGACTTTTCAATGAATCAACGAAGGGCTAACTGACCCAAAAGCCGAATCAATCAATCAATCAATCAATCAATCAATCAATCAATCAATCAATCGGCTGGGCAGCCAAACATTAATACTGCCGGCCTGAGTCTGAGAAAGCGGGTATGAGGCGCTTGAGAGTCCATTCATTGATTGGCCTATCCCGTCAAATTAGCACACCGCAATTCGTCTGAAAATTCGTGTCAATGCAGCTTGACTCAACAAAAGAAAGCTGCAACTGCTGCTCATGATAGCCAACGGCACATGCCTGAGTCCACAGAATAATCATCGCTGCACTGATTTTCACCTGGCGCACACTGAGGTCACTTTGACAACCTTTAAAACGGGGATTGGTCAATTCAACTGCGAAAGCCAAATGGGGAATGGGGACTGACAGGCCTGCCCGAACTCTGCCTGCGAGAATCAGCGGAGTCTGCGTCACGTGCAACTCAGGTTCCTGCAACAGTGACAGTGACCAGTGAATAGTGTAATTTGACTTTCTCTGTGCTGCAACGCAGGCAGTGAGTCTAGCGCAAGAGCAGTCAGTAGGCCCCACGCTGACTGACAGAGGTCGAGGCTGCCAACCTGTCCAGCTCACTCGCTGGCAGACTGGCATTAAAAAAATAAATAAAATAGAATCATTGCACTCCAGTCTGTCTGACTCTCTGAGTCTCACAATCTCTCAAGCTGCCGCGGGCCGCCTGGTCACCGGCCAGTCGCTTAGTAACGTAGGCCCGGCTGTTCTTCTACTACAACGATTACAATGTCAATGTTACAATAATAAACTACAACTAACAATCAAGCAATCAGCAATAATGAGTCGGCGAGAATCTGACCAGCCTGTGACCGGGACGTGTCGAAGTCGTAGATGAGATGCGGCCAGCACCTAGCACATTTAATACGACGTGCATCATCACACCTAAATAAGTCAAGTGCAGCAGCAATGACGCCATTTCACAATGACACAACATCGCACGTTCCACACTCACTGTCACACTGCTTGACTCGTTCAAGCAAATCACAGCTCAGCATCAATCAAAAGCATTGCCAATGCAAGTCGCTGCATGTTACCTGGCCTGGGCTGGGATCACTCTGACTCTGAGACCCGTCACAAGCGGTTGCGTTCGCCTGCCACTCCGAGAATCAAGGCTTGTCCGTCTATTTGAAAACCCTGGCCAACCTTCAAGTCAAATAATTAACAAAATGCCCAACTTCCAGCTCTCAGCTCAATGACACTCAATTTCAACAAAAGTGTCACGGCGCCATTGGTGATTAGTTGATCGGGAATGGCTTCAAATCACAAGTATCAGATTGAGTGAGCGCCCCGCCTCGGTCAGAACAGAGCACGCAATTGATAGTGTGGCATTGTTGGTCCTGTCAGTGGCCAGTGAGTGAGTCAATCAATCAAGCCTCAAGTCAAGTTCAAGTCAACTTAAAGCGCGAACCAACGAATGATTCAACCTAGGCCGGATTGACATTGATTGATCATTGTCTGGACCGCAGCGTCACCTGCTCATCCAGCTGCTTGTCAATGTCAAGCCAAGTTCAGTCAGTCTCAGACTCTCGGCGGCATGTGGCAATTGAAATTTGAGTTGCTTGATTGATTCATTCTCATTATGATGAGACATCAGCCGGCCTGCCTGAGTCGAGTGACAGCGTCGGTCGGACCTGAATTGATCCTGAGAATCTGAGCACTGAGAATTGAATCACACCTAACTGACTGTCTGCTAGCTACGCGCAACTGTTACACTTACACCTCCCAAATCACAACTCAGCACACGACAGTCCTGAAATCATATGTGTCATAGCTCTTGAGCTGGCAAGTCGTTATCAGATCATCATCAAACAAACTCGCAATGTCATGACATGACTCATCATGAGTCACAACTGCGATAATACTTTAAATGTGATGACACTCACTGGCCTGAATAGACCAGGAGCGAGGCGTCCACATTGCATCATTTGATCGCTCGAATTTCACCTGGCCCGTGCTGTTACATTTTTTAACACTGTGACATGACATCAATCATGAGTCAAATGAAAACAATCAAGTTGCATTTGCGCCTAATGCTGGTTGACAGACTCTGTCCAAACACCAGAACCGCTTGCCTGGGCCACTGGAATGCATGCGCAGTGCGAGCTCTGTCAGTTCAAGAATCTAACTCGTCAAGCCGCGCAATCAGTCAGCGTGAAGAAGGCCCCACTCTGACTGAGCCTGCCAAAGCACCGCGCCCCACTGGTGAGCAGCACACGAACTCTGTTTCCGACCGGCACTCTCGCTAACATTAACAGTCAAACAATTATGACAACCATGGCAGCCTCAAAACCAAGACCATGCGCACGTTGAGGCTTCGGCGCGAGATGTTCTTGCTGCCTGGGCAGAGTCCACTGGCCAAACAGAGTCGAAAGAAGCACTGAAATTGAATGGAAGGAGTCGCACTGATCTGACGTCATGTCATGTTGTCATGTCACCAACAATGCTCAGCGATGCGTGGCAAGTAGTTTTACTGACTCGTAGATGCATTCATGGCGTCGCTGCGTGCATCATTGAATTGAATCACTGAATCATATGCCAGGCCTGCCAGCTGACACCGACACGGGCACGTTCTTCTTTTCGAAATTGAAACGGGCTACATTATGGTTGCTCCGCTTTTGGGCGATCAGTCCAAAGTTCTATAAACTAATCTTTGCATTGGCAACTGATTGGCTTCTCAATTTTGTCAACGACTCATTTGTGCCCAACCGCGAAGCTGAGTCTTCCAAACCAAATAAAGCCTTTCGTTGTAACTGTGTTGCAAATCTGTCAAAGTATCCAGCTAGCGATTTCAAATCCAATGGTCCAAATTGTTTGGCAATTTGGTTGTGAGGGCCACTGGGATTCTGGAAAGGCTTTAAACTAATGAGCGCGAAGGCCAGTCTAGTTTCGATTCAACTCGAGGCCGCCATGTCACGCGGCAGGGAATGCGCAGCACTGGATTGACAGAGACATGTCATCATGTCATGTCAATGGATGGACCAAATGGACCAAATGGAACTGTCAGTCAGTCAGACATGTCATGACTCTCAGTCTGTAGTCTCGTAACGTTTGTTGTTTGACAACTCATTTGACACTGAGCTGGCAAGCCTATCGTTGTCATTGACAAATTGAAAAGTACCATCCATTACCATTGACAGACATCATTGACAATTGAGTCATTCCAATTCCATGCCATTGCAAGAAAGTAAGTAGTCGACTGAGTGCTGTTAAGTGTCATTGCTCGGTCACTGAGTCACTAATTGCAAAATTGAAGGGAATAGTATTATAGTCAGCAAAAACGCTCGTCGAACATTCAAGTTGAACACTCACTCATGCAATGATGACTCGGCCAGTGAGTGACTCAGCAACATTTCCTATTGGTTTCAATCCAGTCCTTTGCGAAATCGTCGGTCTCACCTACGATTCTGGCAGATCGCCTCTTAAACATCGGGCCCTGGCTTGGCCAAGAGCCATCGTCCAATTTTACCCGCATAAACCAAGTCATCGGGTCGCGGTTGCCTGGAGACTCGTCCACTTTCAATTGACCTGCAACATCTCCACAGCGCGCGCATGGAACATTTGTCCAGCGGTTGTAGGCATCTCTTAGACGAGCCCGTGGGTGAGCAGCCGCAGGAATCCTCGCCAAATCGGCCACAGGGGCGTCATCAGGAAGAAGCACAACTGCCGCCGCAGGCGGCGCCGCAGGTGGCGCCGCAGGTGGCGCCGCAGGTGGCGCGCCGCAGGTGGCGCCGGCGGCTCCGCAGGTGGCGCCGGCTCCGCAGGTGGCGCCGGCTCCGGCTCCGCAGGTGGCGCCGGCTCCGGCTCCGCAGGCGGCGCCGGCTCCGCAGGTGGCGCCGGTGGCTCCGGCTCCGCAGGTGGCGCCGCCGGTGGCCCCGGCTCCGCAGGTGGCGCCGCAGGTGGCGCAGGTGGCGCCGCTTCCTGCGGCATGTCCTTGGCAAGCTGGGAGCTTGAATCAAATTGAAGACTTGTCTTGCTTCTGACCCAAAACGATCTACAACAAGACATCAGCGATACTTCATACACTACAACAACATCAACATATAATTGCCTGCTTTGACATGAAACTAGACTAGACCATCGTCTAATTTAGTTAGAACAATGTTGGGTGACTTCAGAAAATGAAATTAACTTGTATTTAACAGTTGCCCCTGTTCGTCATGTGGCACAGTAATGGATTTGTCTCCTTATTCATTGGATTCATTTGTCGCAACCAGTCAGTTGACCACCAATTATGATTCAACGGTGCTTGAAATCAAGTCAAGTCCAAGTCTCTTCGTCGCCAGCCTCCACATTGACAACGTCACGAGCTCGTCTCTTGGCCCTTGGGGCAGCGTTGGGCAAAACTGCAGACTTGGCCTTAGCCTTCGCTTTGGCCTTCGCTTTGGCCTTGGCCTTGGCTTTCGCAAGATTGGCGGCTGCCTTCTTGAACTTGCCCCTGGCTTTTCCTGCATGCTTTCTGGACTCTGCCGTCCAGCCCTCCCTGTGACTTTGGCCCTTGCGCTTTGCAACAGCCTCCGTGACTGGCCGGAAGTCCCGCTGCTCCTCCAAAGGCATGTCACCCAGGATCAACTCGTCCAGCTCTGTCCCAATGACGGAAGCTGCCATCTTCGGCTTTGCAGCATCAGCTATGCTCGCCATGACAGCGTCCTGGTATTCAACGTCCTCCTCCGACACCCATTTCACAATCATATTGACCAAGTCCTGGCGCAAAGACTTTGGCAGCTGGGAGGCTTCAACGTCACTGACCGCAAACGTCGAGTGCAGGTGCTGCGCCAGCGCAATGATGTCCGACATAGTGAGCCGGTTGTGTCTCCCCGCATCCCTGAAGAAGAACTTGACCAGCCGTTCCTGACTGACTGACTGATTCATCACTGATTGCTTGACTGTCAAATTGACTGATTTATTGGCAGGAACGGCTGTCATCATGATGTTCTAAAAGTAGTGAGTTGGTGACTCAATGGTTCATTTAAATCTACACAACAACAATGCTTTTCAATCTGAGCTGACGGAGCTGAGCTGATTGGGGCAGCAATCCAAACAGGGGAAAAGCACCCTTGACTGATTGATCTTGATTTGAATCAGAAATCGTATAGTCTAATAGTGGCTTTGAAACTGTGGGCTGGCCGGGAGGCAACGTCAGTAATCAAGACAATGATTTTCGTTGAACAGCAAAAACACGCAAAAAATGACAAATCCCTGCAAAGGCTCCGAGGTCATATGCTGCAAAACGACCTTGCCACAATGGACCGCTGCCTTTGTCCTCACTACCCACCAGTACCACGGCTGCACAAGGTGGTGCCACTTCACCTCGCCCGTGGGGTCAAGCACGTAGTAAGTGTTCCCCTCCAAATGGCCAAAACAGTGCACCATAGACTGCGTGGCCCAGGCACACCCCTGTGTACCCGGCATCATTGTGCCCAGTGCCGTTGTCCTCCAGGCGCATGACTTCCAGTGGCACTGCCAACTTGCTGAAGTCCGCATCGCTGATACGGACACACCGTGAAGGCAGATTGCCGAGCCTGTACGAGCGCAGAAAAGCCCAAGCCGCATGAGCCTTGTGAAGTGATTCCTCGCTCAATGTGATCCAGTTCTTCCGCCCCATGATTCGGGACCAGTGAGGTCGAAGTTTGTGGACATGAGCGCGGTATCTCCTGTTGACAGGGTGGCCGGCCAGCAAACATAATAAACAGTCTACTGCAGGGTGTTTAGCCTACTCGCCCACACTCGCATTTAAAAAAACAACTTGATTCAGAAATTGGGCAACAAACGGGAGCAGTGGCAAATTAAGTAGTAGCCAACTAACTGTCGCTGTGTTTGTCAACTTTGTGTCACAACCTGCCTCTTCTGACTTTTGTCGCGCACACGGCTGAAGGAGGCAAGAAACCCGTCTTTGTCCACAGCAGCCCTGTGCTGGATTCCCCGCGATTGCAATACAGATGAACGGGTAACGAGCGCCATCATTTGGTCCAGACTTTGGGTCTTGTTCTTCCCTTTCTTGGATTGCATCCGGATGACGCCGTGCAAGTCCTCAACCACTTTGCTGTCTGGAATGCAGTGCAGCATCCCTTTCAAAAGGTGGGTCCCAGCAGGCGACATGGGAGAGTAGCAGTCGGCCTCGAAGCTCAGAAACATCAGGCGCACGGCCGGCGTGATAACAGCAGACAAGTCTTTCAAGAGCGGCACCTTAACCTTGCGGGCCCCAGGAGATGTTGCCGCTGCTCGCTCCAGTGCCAGCAAAGCCTTGTGATCCGCAGCCAGGCGACGACAAGTGTCCTCAGCCGCCAGTGGGATTTGAAATGATGACGAACAATGAGAATGAGAGGCAACCAAAAAGTAGCGAATTAACACATTGCATGAATCTTTGTCACACTGATGATCCGTCAGTCAGACATGACTCGGTTACGACTAATAAGTGATTTCAGAACATTTGAAAAACACAAAAACGTTCATGGCAAGTCAATCTCTCACCCCAACCAACCAACAAACAAACAAACAAATGCAACCTGGTAACCTATTACCAATCAATCAATCAATCAATCAATCAATCAATCAAGCAATCAACCAACCAATCAATCAATCAATCAATCAATCAATCAATCAATCAATCAATCAATCAGTCAATCAATCAATCAATCAATCAATCAGTCAATCAATCAAACAAACAATCAAGCAATCAATCAATCAATCAATCAAACAAACAAACAGTCAATCAAATCAACCAATCAACCAATCAATCGATCGATCGATCGATCGATCAATCGATCAATCAATCAATCAATCAATCAATCAATCAATCAATCAATCAATCAATCAATCAATCAATCAATCAATCAATCAATCAATCAATCAATCAGTCAACCAATTAAAATCGCAATCAATCAATCAATGAATCAATCAAACAGTTATTCAACCAATTCAATGAATCAATCAATGAATCAATTTGGTGAAACAGAATCAGGATCTGAATGCTGAATCGTAGACTGAGACAAGACTGACTCACTAATTAAGAAGTTGAAATGATCCGTCTGAAATCCTGGAATCCAAGAAATGCACAAAATGAGTGAATGAATCAATGTCAGGCTCCTGACTGATTCATTGAGACTTGATTGATTGAAACCTTCACTGGACCAACTGATTCCCTGACGCTCTGGCCAGGACACGAAAACCCGAAAGCAACAAAATTTGCCCAGGAAATCAAAGCCCAGAGGCGGCTTTCGAGCGCGCACAATCGCCAAGGATGGCAGCGTAGCTGTCTGGGGGCGCATCGTGCCTTGAAAGCGACCACGCACGGTGCTTCAGCACCTGAAGTGTGAACTCCATCACCAATGACGGCGCCTCAGTTAGATCGCTCGAGAGAACCTTCTGAAGCAGCGGGTCGCTGGCAGTGCAAAGCACTGCGGTCGTTTCCCGCAGATGGGCATCCGAACGCCAGCCGATGTCCGCCATCTCGATGGCGCGCCGAACGCCATGCAAAGGGCTGGTGACGTGTTTCACCATGTTTGCATACCATGTCCATGTGGGTCTGGTGCAGAGGGCAATGATCTGGCAGCGACGGAAAAGGCGTTCTGACGACAGCGCGTGGGCTAGGCGAAACCCTCCACCAAGCTGCTTCTTGATTTTCGAAAACTCATCCCGCATGTTGATCTTTTCGGCACTGCTAGAGGCGGCCTCAGAGCACAATCTGTCAAGATTTCCGGCCACCTGCGACTCCTCGCTGTCTAGGGCCTCGCTGCTGGCAAACTCGTACGCCAAAACCAACTTCAGAGCGTGGAAGAAGGGAAGTTGCTCCTCAGCCGACTGGTTCCATGAGAACCAACGGCTGACCTTAGGCAGTGTCTGCTTGCAATGAAACCCGTCCAAGTCGGGAAGCGCTTGCCAAACGTCCTGAGCAGTGGCGGAGTCGCCCATGTCCAGGTCATCCTTGATTTGCTCCCAAAGACCCCTGAAGGGAATGCACGTGTCAGGCGTCTCACGCATCATCATGACTTGCAGCATTCGTCGTTTTTGCTCCATGAACGCACCCGTCCCAAAAGGACGGTACGCCAGCCCCCACAAGTATGTCGAATGCATCTGCGCCTGCAGCAAGACCGCGTTTGCTGTGTGCTGCAAGGCCAAGCGCACATCTCTCACTGAGCGATGAAAAATGTCCCAGCGATTTTGCACAAGCTTCTCAAGCGAATGAGTTGCAAACGCGCAGCCCGCTGAACCGATGCTGCCCTGGTCCAATTGTGTAACGAGCAAAGGCACACTCACCCACCAGTTTGGCTCTGATGGCAACAAGAGCGTCTCAGTTCCGTCTGCCTGCAAAAAGCCAGCTTGCTGTTTGTTGATACCCACACGCCTGACAAAACGCTCTTCCCCAGATTTGACAGGGCTCACATTGATTCGGTCCGGGACACTGAAGGCATCCAGGTCTGCAAAGCGCCCCCGTGTGCACAGGTTGATCTGGTGTGACATTGCTTGCAATTGCCGGTAAGCTGAAAGACGATTCAGCTTGTTCTCCTGACGGGTCAAGTCCAATTTGTCATGTGACACTGTGAGTCAATCTCAATTGAATGGGTTAATTAACTCAGTGACAAGCCAGTTGATTATTATTGACTTACTATACTTGTTTACTGTGCCTCACACGAACAACCAGTCAGTGCAATTGTTGCCCAAAGTGAGTCCTGCGCAAGTCGAGCCACTGGGTCTTCCAGCTCCATCTCACCGGGGCCAACCCTGCTGGATCCATTAGGAAGGATCATCTGTACTGGAGGAAAAGCAGCCGAGTTGTTCTCGTGCGAGAATACAATTGACACCAAGATATCCTTGCAGCTGTGCGTGGATCCGTCGGCTACAAGGTTGAAGTGATTCGCGCCCTGTAACGAATAATTCACTCGCTCATCATACAAGATTTGATGTCTCCGTTGCCATGCGTCCACAGTATGTTCGCGACACCCCGCCGCCTCCGACAGTAAGGGGTTTTCATGTAACAAAACTGCTTGTCGTAAAGAAACGCCACTCCTGTCCGCGCTTTGCATCAGCTCCCAAATGCTGTCCGGCGCAACAGTGACTCTCGCCTTGCCCTCAGCTTTCAACGCTCGCCCACGTGAAGGAAAAGCCTTGTCAACACTGTGTTCAGCCATGTACACCATGAGGATGTAGTAAGTCAGCTCAGTCGCCAGGAACTTGACAACGCTCTTCTGCAGCGAGCTCAGAACTCGCAGGCTCCGCTCAGTCCATGCACGAGCACCTGAGTGTTTTCGAAAGCGCTCAGCTGTAGCAAGAAAAATGACAAGGTCCTGTAAGGTGATGGTGTCTTCCAGCTCAGACCCCAAGAGGCCAGACGCACGCATGAGTCCCCAGCGAGCGGCCCATGCCTCCAACATCGTCTGGTGGCGCATCTGCAGCCCAGCCTTCAGGCCACCAGGGCTGACATGTAGAGGTAGCACCTCCTCACCATCTGGCAGGTCCATAGCCTCCCTGATTCCATGAGTCACACGTGTCACAATCTCCCTCAATTGCCCCTGGATAAAAAGGACAATTGATGATGTCCGGCTGGTCTCCACGCTGCGGAAAAAAAACGCCAAAATGCCACTGCTTGTTGCCACCGTGTCATCAAGCTGGGACGCCGGCGTATTTACACCCTTGCAATGCACAAAAAAAGCGTCCTCGTCTACAAGCCCTGATGCTTGGATTGATGCCTTGAAAAACGTCACCCACTTGTAGAAGCTGGTGCGCGTCTCACCCTTGTCTTTCAACCTGTCATGCAAATAGTGCAGGGACCACCACAGCTCCTCATCTGCCCCCGTCCGTGCCAAATAAGCAGCCTTCGACGGGAAAGCAAGGTCCTGGTCCAAGACAAGCCGTTTGCAATCCGCATGGTTAAGGCTCATGATTCAGCAGCACTAAGGCCTAGCCAGCTTTGAAGCAACAAGAAGCGACGGAGACAGAGCTGATCAACAACATGAAACAACATGCTGCAAATCGGCAGAGAGACTGACTGACGCACTTACAATGCACTTTCACTCACCACCAAAAAATAACTATCTACTCTGTCACATGACTGAGTCAATCAAGCAGTAAGCTTGGGACGCAGCGCAAGTTGCTGGGGCCCCAGGCAAAGAGAGCGGCGTGTCCGTCCCCTTAAATGTCCTCAAATGAGGCTGGGTCGAGTCTAAATTACGAAGGAAGCAGTGATCAATGGCTTGACTCCGAAGCACTGCTGCTGAACTGTTAGTTCTACACACAGACCAATTGCACAAGCGCACCCGTCAAGTCCATGCACAGCCCTTGCCACCGTGGCAAACAAAGCAATCAATGAATGACAATGACAATCAAGGTTTTGTGCCAAAAAAAGGTAACAGACTACAGACCCCTATATGACGACGAGTCAGTCCTGTCCACCAGACCCAGAATCGCAAGAACGGGGAAGTTGGTCCTGACGCAAGACAGACGGTAATCAGAATCAGTCGGTAACAGTCACAAGTGGCCATGCAACTTGCTGGCGTGCAAGGGCCATGTGTGTTCAAGAAAACAACAAAGCTTACGGGGAACGGCATGATTCAATGAACATGCGAGTGACTTGCACATAAGATCAGTCTGTCAGTGATGTGTGTAGTATATTAATACTCTATTCGGATTCTAGCATCGAATCGCCTGCCGACAGATTTGTTTGTCTACCCGCTCACAGCCAGATGAGGCATATCTCCCCGTGCGAGCTAGATTGGCTCGACTGACCTGAGCACTGGAGGCGCGCCAGCCAACAAAAACAGGTTAGTCATTTGGTGTTCACCAATTATTTGGCAATGGGCTTCCCACCGCAGCATATCAAACTGCCCGCACAAACAAACCAACCATATGATTGAATCAAACATGATCACAATTCATTTCAGCAGCACCCCTGCTTCTGACAGTCTGGCAGCCAACTCAGCTACTGCTGGACAGCAGCGCTGAAATAACTGCATCCCCGAATTGCAAAGTGTATGCCTGCGACTCAAGCAGAAGGTGCTTCACACCCGTGAAACCTCCGTTCTTATCCCGGCGAGCCAGGACAGCGTCACTGCGCATCACAATAGGCCTGTCCCGCGCTAGGGCTGTCATCATGGAGCAGCTTGACCACAGTTGCAACGGCTTTAATGTTTCGCCCCCGAAGCAGCTGTGATAAGTCGTTATCTTCTGCGCACAGGTGAAGACCAAGGCAGCCCGAAGACAGGGTGTGAGTGGCATGCGGGAATTGAGGGGCTGTTCCAAAACCTCCACCCCGTCCATCAGGAAGGCCAGGCACATGGTCAACCCTGTGATGTCAGCAAGCATGTTGCCAACTTTCACAAAGAGTTTGTCTTGATCACCCAACCAGTCGTTCTCTTTGTAACGTAAGGACTGTGAAAGCGATAGCGTCACAAAGCTGGAGCATTGGGTGCCATGCCACACAAGGCACTTTGGCAGGGATGCTGCTAACGCCAGTAGCCAAAGGCGCAGACCAGCGATGGTAAGGACGTCATGTGAGCTGCTGTAGATTTTGTCGAAGCTGACCCCTCGCAGCCCCCGCCGAAGTGCTGCTTTGCTCAGGTTGCCTCGCCCGCACGCGTATTCAATATATTGCACCCAACATCGCCCCTTTGCCCGATTGTGGAGCGTCCTGAGGACTAAGGCCAGGAGCATCTTGTCAATGCCCCAGGAGGTCATAAAGGGGTACACGCTCGACAGTAAGCAATGCCACACATCAGGGGCTCTGCCGCCACTGTGCGCCTTGTCGTAACGCAGAAGCCTGACAATTAACCGCTCGATCTTACTCCTCTCATCCAGGTCAAACCACACCAGATCACCCACAGCGTTCAGTGGAAAGCCCTCCACATCTGCAAACAGGTGAGCATCCACATCATGACAGGACCTTTTGAAGAGCTTGTCCACGCGGTCATGCTCTGCAACCGCTGCGTTGGCTGCTGCACACATTGCACGTGCGCGGTCTGACATCTTGCTGCGCACAGGCCCGTACTCCATTGCGCAATCCCCAAGCTGTCCACTCAGCTGTGATGTCTCACACTTGTACACATTATGGTGGTGTGTAGTAAATAATGACAGTTTTGTCACATTTCGTGGCATTTTGTGACATTTTGAGACTTGGTGGAGGAACATGTGGCATTTTGAGACATTTTGAGCAATTTTGAGCAATTTTGAGCAATTTTGAGAAATTTTGAGAAATTTTGAGAAATTTTGAGCAAAATTTCCATAGGGTTTAGGATGCAGTTTGTGGATCAAAGTGCTTTTGGTTAGCATGAATATGCATTCCTGCTTAATTGTTGTAACCGTTGCACCAATGTCCCCTTGTTGGTGCCACAGCTGCTGCGGATTCAGCGACACGCCCAGCCTGACAAGACACTTGACTTGCATCCCATCACCCAAGTTTCAAAGGGTCAGCCAACATTCACACCAACACTCACACAAAACTCCACCATCACGACCAGCGTGTCCTTGCCCGCCGCCACATTACAGGGCTGCCGTGCACCAACAGGAGCCCAGTGACGCCTGGAGTCAGCAATCGATATGACTCAACTGTACCTACCCCTAAGGGTGCTTAGGGGTAAGAACAGGTTCCTGCAAAGTTTAAATAGTGACATTGTTGAGATACGCCCAAGCCTTCATCTGCGTCTGCGTGCCATCACAATCGCAACGGCACCTCAGGCGTCAGGTGACGACGGCTGCCTGTCACAGTGGGGGGGGGGGGCTGGTCACACATCATATAGTTATACTCGCTATGACCTGAGTCAAGACACAGATTCCCATCAATGAATCAACCCGGCTGTTACTCCTGATAATTGGCAAACACCTTGGCTCGATACGCAGCTGACCGAGCTCCAGGCGTAGCCAGAGAGCAGAGATCACTCCAGCGAGCCACCTTGCAAACGAAGGGGGTCAATCAATGAAATTGTGAGGACGTGACACAGCGCTGCCTGGGCATCCTGCAGTCCTGACCGGAGGCCGCCTCAACCTGGCGCGACAGCTTGATAGCATCTGAATGATGAATATTGAACAATGTGACATGTCGAACTCAGTATCATGTATCATGACACTGTGAGGAGCAGCACGACTATGTCACCAAGCAATTGCCCAATGCCATTTTCCCCGTGGGTATGCGATCTGCTACAGTGGCCGGATCACGACACTGGAGGCCCAATTCAATGGCCCAAGCACAGCCACGCCCGTTGCGACAAAGCTTCTGATGAGATGTCAATCATGATAGCGCGCGTGCGTGCCCACCTGCCAGTCAAGTACATAGATTGAATCATTGTGACGTTGTGTCACAGTCGAATTTCGCCCATCCGTGAGCGTCTCAGGGCCGCAACTACTAACTTGACTAACTATGTCAAACAAATCAGTCGTCATAGTCGTAGCAACACATGAATGAAGTAGAATATGGCTCTGACAGTCACTCAGTCTGAGACTCCGATCTGTGACTACTGACTGCTACCCGGGCTGGTGCCTGAGGTCGGCCACTGATGGAACAAAACCCGCGAGCCCGTGACACAATCACAATCACAGGATTGCTGCCTGACTCGCTTCCTGCTTTGCTGCCCCGCCATGTGTACAACAAGACTGTTAGCGATGTAGTAGCTTATTTCGTCACATCAGTCATCATCCGATTGCGATTGGCTTTCGTGCCCAAGATCAATTCATATCGCACTTTGAAACTTTAACACGCTATCTGGAATCTGTTAAAGGGAAACGGGGCAGCTCAGCGGCAGGATCACACCACAATATCTACTTCAGTAGCGGCCTCCGCGGTCTGGTCATTGATCTCCTCCGCCCCCATGGCCTCCCAACCGCCAGCTGCAGCTTCATCATCGCCCTGAGCTCCAAGTCCGGGAGCACTACCATTGCTGCACCGATACGGGCACCATCCACGAGGCTTTCCACCAATAGTCCATGTCTGCTCAATGCACACGCGGTGAAAGACATGCCCGCACTCGGTAGCCTCCAGCGCCTGCGTCTGGTGGTCCATGCCCTGCTGGCAGATGGCGCACAGCAGCGGCTCAGGCGGCCCGTCCGTGTTGCCCGCTGGCTGCCCCGGATCAATAATGGAGTCGGTCGGCAGCGGCTGGGCCTCGGAGCTCTCATCTCTGGGACTCGCAATGTCAATGTCTTCCTGGTCAGAGTAGGAGTCATGGTCATGGCCATCCGGGGACGGAACCTCGCTCTCCTGACAGGGGCAAACACTTAGACGATTAGACGGCGTACTGAACTAGCGCCCCTGACGCAGACTCAGACTCACCCTCATCCCGCTACTAGGGAGGCACTTCTAAGATTCTAGTCTAGCACTACCTTTGGTGTGATCTTGGCGCTGCTAACTTTCCACACATAGCCCCTCACAAGTTTCATTGAATCGAAACTCGGCCGAAGTCACATAGATCCACTGAAAGTTGACATGGCCTAATGGCTCTGAACTGAAGTTAGCATAGCCTGGAAAGGGTTCAGTTGTCTTGTCAAGGCTACGTCGCCGGCAGGGGTGGGGTCCCCAACTCCACCCGAAACCCCACCGCCCAGACAGTCAGGGTTGGCAAGTTGGCACTCGGGCAATAATAGTAAATAGTATAAATTCGGTCATGTTCGGTCGGGAACTCATCAATCAACAAAGCGGCTACAGCATTACTGCCCTTGTAGGCTAGATGTTGATTGAACAAAGAAACATCTGCCAGCGAAACAGTTGAATTAAACCACAAAGAATTACTTCGCCTCAGTCAGTGAGGTTTGCGACACTTTTCTGGACATGCGTGGCTTCAGTTGCGTTTCAGACCCGGGTCCTGGTCCTGCTCCTGCAAGATTCTTGGCTGATCTTCAAGGGCAAGAGCGGTTGCAGGAGCCCTGTCAAGAGGCCTGTTGGACATCGTGACCGCCACAGACCGGGGCGGGGGCGGGGGCCCCGCTTTTGATTGCATGGTGGATGGCGTGGTCGATGGCATGGTCGATGGCACAGTTGATGGCACAGTCGATGTCATCGCGGGCTGGGGCGGCGGCTGAGTCTGAGACATAGCGATGATTGGTGGCTGCCTAGGGCGTGCGAGCTGCGGCACAGGAGGCGACGGAACTGCAGGCGAGCTGCGGCTGCTGCCTAACCCGGCTTTCGCAGGCGGGGCCTTGTTGGCGGCTGGGAGGAGGATGTTCTCGCCAGCTCGACGCGGCCACGTCGGGGGAACGAAGCTGGTCATGGCCTTGGGCTTGGCCTTGGCCGTCATCACGGATTGCTCCAGAAGCTCTGGCATGGTGGCTGTTGGCGGGGGAGGCGCAGCCTTCTTCGCCTTCTTTTTTGCCGCAACCCAGGTTGCATCCCATTCCGTCTTGTACCCGCACTCCGTTGCAAGCGCAAGGACCCACTCATCTGTTCCTGCTCCTGCAGGGCTCTCAGCACGTCTGCCATGTTGCCAGACTGAGACGTCGTGAGCAGCCGCTCGTGTCTCTTGCTGAGCTTCATGTTGAGTTCATAGAAGTACTCCACGCGAAGCTCTGACAGCTTTGTCATTGGCCTCTGCCTCGTGAGGAGCCAGATCAACCGAGCCAGGCCGTCACCGCTAAGCCCGCTCGTCGTCGTTGCATCCATGCTCTCGTGGATGGCCTCGCAAGCCTCCGACAGCCGGACCTGCCAGCAAGTGGCTTGCAAGACAAACAGCCCGTGAACTGTATCTCTCGCGTCACTAGCCAGACTCAGACAGCAGCACTGGAACTGAAAAAGGGGGTCTGGTTGGCCTCACTCCGCCGCAGTGACATGAAAAGCTTCAACTCTTTCTTTGCCGGTCAGAAGCCTGGGTAACTAGCAAAGCTGAGCACGATCACTAGTTTGCCGCAACCTTGCCTTGGGCAGCGCGCCGAGCATCACACAGCTTCTGCTGATGCGCGCCTCGTCGCTTTTGCAATAAAGCGCCGCCCGGGAGCTTGCCAGGGATGCCATAGCTGCCGCTGCTGCTGTGGCCACAGGGTCTGCCGCTGTAGCCTGCGGGGCCTTGGCTTTAGACATAGAGCCTGGTTCGGCCGCACGTGTTCGCGCCAGCTCTTCATCATCAGAACTGGATGAGTCGGCCTGCTGCTGCTGCGGCGGTGGCGGGTTCATCATCATGGCCGGGTTCATCATGGCGCCCATCATCATCGGGTTCATCATGGGGTTCATCATCATGGGATTTACCCATGATGGCATGGAGGCGTTTCCGCCCGCAGTCTTCTGTTTCTTGTTGTGCTTGTGGCCCCCCATGGCTACAAGCAAGCGCGATCTGGGGCAGAGAGTCCAAACTCAATGGGTCCTTGGGCCTCCTCTGTCGCAGTCACCCCGCCATGATGATGCAATATGATGTGCTCCAACAGTTTGTTCACCATGAATCAATCCATGAGTTGGAGACAGCTTGCAGCACATCAGATCAGGCTGTCAGGACAGCTGTTGCTGCAAACAATCAAGAAAAGCGCCAAGCTTAATGATGGGTGGGCCGGGCCTACCCGCAGCTCGACAAGTCCGTGGGCGCTGGGTCCTGGCCAGACTCAAAGCCGCATCGCAATCAATCAATGAATGCACCCTCAATCAACTCAATGAAGCTCAGTCACCGACAGATCATCATCGACTCACCTGTGACAACAAATATCACAGTCAGGTGTCACGGAGCGCCCTCTGCAACACTTATTCACTGACAGCAATGATTCAATGACAAGTCAAGTCAAGATTCACTTTGGCCAAACAAGTCCGTCCTGATATTTGCCATCGAGCAAATACGCTGGTTGACATTGTAGATGTAATAACTCACATAATATCATAATCACATGGCCTCAGCATCATCGCTCAGTCAGTCAGTGCGTAAATCCATCTCGTAACTAACTAACTAACTGAGTCCCAGTGACTCAGCCTCACGTTGCTCAACCTAGTTCACAAGACGTCAGTCAATTTGTCAATTCACATCTCAAATTCACTGAAAACAAAAAGCGCACCATGCCATGTCATTGAATTGAGTCGAAAGCTCCACTGAGAC